CTGCAAAACGTGAACTTCTATTTTTGTCCTCTTAAAATTACTATTGACCAATTACAATGCACCCATCTTATTTGGAAACAAATTCAAACAAATAATAAACTGGGCTGAAAATAAAAACAACCATAAAACATCAACTCAATAGAAGAACTTTGGTCTTTGAATTTAGTTTAAGAAAACAAACTTATCATATATATGAAAATATTTATAAATAAAACAGTAAGTCTTAGATTTGACCCCAAATAATGCAGGAGTTATGAATGAGAGTAAAGATGAAATAAGACTAACCAAACATTAATAACTGCTGGGAACACTAAGATTCATTATCCTTTTCAAATTTTATCTGTGTATAACATTTTTCCATTAAAATGTTTTCAGAGAAAATACTAGAGATATGAAATGAAAACGAGATTAAGACAATTGCCACAGTACACAAATTTTAAAGTCAGCAGAGAAAGCAATTACCGACCTGTATGCCAACTTTTTGTCTGCATCAGAAAATTTCTTCTTCACTTTAATTTTTTTTGCAGGTTCTTGCAAATGTGGTCTTTGAATCTGAGATGTAATTTCTTCCCCTTCATCCTGTCTCCTTTTTTTGGTTGTTTCCTTTTAAAAGTTTGAAGTTACTTTTGAGACTTTGTCCTTTAAAATTCTGGCCCTAAATGGTAATTTAGTGGTCTTTCTAAATGAGCATCTTTAGTCTCTCACTGGTGCCAATACAGGGGGTAATACAGTTAGCCTACTGTTACTCAATACTGGAAATGTGACATACAGTAGTTCGAGATACGGTCTGTTTAAGTTTGCATACACTCACACACATCCCCTACATCCCCCACTGTAAAGCTCCCCTTAAACCAATGGCTCTCAACCTGTGGGTCTCAACACCTTTGGGGGTCGAATGACGCTTTTACGGGGTGGCCTGATTCATAACAGTAGCAATATTACAGTTATGAAGTAGCAATGAAAATAATGTTATGGTTGGGGGGGGTCACCACAACATGAGGAATTGTATCAAAGGGTCACAGCATTAGGAGGTTGAGACCCACTGCCTTAAATTAAATGTTCTAATTCAGCAAGTTTGGACTGACAAAACCTTCTGGGCCAGTAAGGTCATTTAGATAAGCAATGGAGCTGGAGACCCTGAGGGAGTGACTTACTATAGTCAGTCAAAAAGTACTGTTCAATAAATTTTCTATGCTTTTGAAGCAATACTATTTGACTTACCCTGGTATTGACCAATTGCAATGCACACAACTTATTTGGATACTGACTCAAATAAATAAGCTCTGCTAAAAACAAAAACAACCAATTAATAAAAATTTTTGGCCTTTGAAATTTCAGTTAAAAAAATCCTATCATACACACTAAATATTTATCGATGATATTAGCTATATATCCTTTTATCCCATTGCTGAAGAAAAAAGTTCATTGTAACAAATCTATTAAACAACTCTCAAGTTGCCTTTCACTGAACACTTTGAAGCAGTTTTGGCAGGTTTCAGTCTCGCTGCCTCCTTCTATCTAAGAGCTTGCAGAAATAAACTTTGAACTTCTGGGATCAACCTGGTTTCTTTATTTGGCTAACACTGAGGGGCATACGGGAACTATCAGCCGGCATCAGTGAGTCCAGTAGCAAAAGATTACTTAGAACTAACCCCATCTGCGCAGGTCCGCGACAACACTTTAGATGTCATGCCCTGCACGGTCCAACCACGCGGGGAACCTGATGATTTTAACGCTGTTCTAATACGTCGTTTATCGAAGAGCCCAGGGACTTACTTGAGGCGCAGGCACGTACACAGGTTGAACAGGAGATTCCAAAGAGCTGAAAAGGGACGCAAGTCCTCCCGCGACGGCTCTGGGCAGGGTCTTCCTGTGGAATAAGCTCCCGGCGACCTGTCCAACTAGGTAGTCTCCGCTCGGACTCCCGCGGGAGGGGGCGTCCGAGTGCTCTCTGAAAAGGAGCGCCACGTCAGAGAGGCTACCGGCCCA